TTCGTTCTCACCTTCACCTTATGTCCCAAAAAATACGGCCGCAACTTCCTCACTGTTACTACCACCGCTAGAGCACACTTCTCGATCTCCGAATATCTCCTTTCCGCCCCTTGCATTATTTTACTCACGTAATAAATTGGAAATTGCACTGCGCCTTCCTCCCTCAACAAAACCGAGCTTACCGCCAGTTCTCCGATAGATACATACAACACTAGGTCCTCCCCCAGAACTGGTTTAGCCAATAGGGGCAAGTTAGCTAACACCTTTTGTAGCTCCTCGAATGCCCTCTGGGCCTCCTCCGTCCATTGGAATTTCGAGCACTTTCTCAACGTTCGAAACAAGGGTCCGCTCTTTTCCGCCACCTTGGATATGAAGCGACTCAAACCCGCTATCCTACCCGTCAGAATTTGCACCTCCTTCACTTTGGTGGGTGGCTTCATCTCGATCACCGCTTTCACCTTCTCTGGGTTGACCTCGATCCCTCTCTTCTTCACCATGTACCCCAGGAACTTCCCCGACTTCACCCCAAAAGAACACTTAGCGGGGTTCAGTTTCATGCCATACCTCCGCAACGTTAAGAACGTTTCTTTCAAGTCATTCACGTGATCAGCTTCCACCCTACTCTTCACCAGCATATCATCGACATACACCTCCATATTCCTCCCCAGCTGCTCCTTGAAGATCTTGTCGACCAATCGCTGATACGTTGCCCCTGCATTCTTTAAACCGAAAGGCATCACCACATAACAATAGGTTCCCCTGCTCGTAACAAAACTCACCCTCTTCCTATCCTCTCGAGCTAAAGGGATTTGGTGATACCCTTGGGATGCATCCATAAGGCTAAGCAATTCACAACCTGCGGTAGAATCGACCAACTGGTCAATCCTAGGCAATGGGTACAGATCTTTCGGACACGCCTTGTTTAAGTCACGAAAATCAATACACATCCTCCACTTCCCCCCAGACTTAGACACCATCATCGTGTTCAACAACCATTCAGGGAACTGGATCTCTTTAACATGGCCCGCCTTCAGCAACTTCTCCACCTCCTGCTCGATCACCTTATCCATCTCCGCGCCATGGTGTCGTCTTTTTTGTTTCACTGGTCTCACCGTTAAGTCGATGTTCAAACGGTGTTCTATCACCTTCGCCTTTATCCTTGTCAACTCCTCAGCCGTATACGCAAAAACATCCGCGAACTCTCTGATCAACGCAATCAACTTCGATCTTATGGGCTCCTCCATCTCCTTACCTATCCGAAATTTCCTCTCTTCGCGCCCTCTACCATCTGGACCTCCTCAATCTCCCCTCCTGGCTGCATCTCTACCTTTTTTTTCCCCTTGTCCGCTCTTTCCTTCTCTTCTTTCGACCTCGAGCCCCCAGGTCGGCTCGGTACTTCCTCCTCCAGCTTCGCTCGCTTCCTCGAGAGCTGCTTATTATTGCTCACCGTGGTCTGGTAGCAACTCCTCGAGGTAAGCTGATCTCCTGCGACCTCACCAACGTTTTCCCCCACCGGATATTTGATCGTCATGTGGTACGTCGACACGACCGCCTGGAAAGCATTCAAGCTAGTCCTTCCCATAATAATGTTGTACGAGGATTCCGCTCCAACGACCACAAACCTTACCATTCGCACCTTCCTTGTCACCCCTTGTCCTAAGGCAACAGAGAGGCTTACCTCTTCCGTCCGCCATAGCTACCAAGCTTCAAAAATCTAGCACACCACTTTTCGAACGAAAGTCCCACAGACGGCGCCAAATGGTAACGCAAAACACTCCAACCGGCATGAAATCGGTTTGCTTCCTTCTTCCTCGCCGATAGAACGCCGCGCTCCTGCACAGAACTCTCACACCGGAGGAGTTTTCCGGTGAAGAGCCTCCGATGCTTAAGTCAGTATATGTTTGCTCAATTTTCCAAAGTAAAGAATGGATAAATCGTAAACCCTAAGAAAAGACCCACTCCTCTATATATAGGAGTGAGATACCTGCGCTAAGAGCTGCCCGGATATTTGGTGAGCTGTCCTGCCCGCGCTGCCCGTCCGTACACACGCAGTACGTGTATTGTCAGAAATGTCAGGGACGTCAGAGGTGGTTATTGCCACTATTACTCTGCACCACTAGGTTCTCGCCACGTGTCCCCTTTTGAGCTGAGGGGAAATATTCCTTTGCGTGGGCCGTTGGGATCCCTTGATATCACCCACGCGCCTACTCACGTTCAGGTCACGCTCTCGACTGCCTCCTTCCTGCTACGTGCTCGATATGATCGAGCTCCCCCTCGCTAGGTCGATCCTCGACCAACCCTGCCATTCTGCTCGATCTCTTCTGCTTTGGTCGATCATCCTTCAACCCACGCGGTTTTCTCCCAACTTATGCCGGTTTGTCCGACGTGATGGGCCGGTCTGTTCTTTAGTCATATGATATCCCATATCATATAGCATTAGTGACATTCTTCAAGCAAAATTGAGTTAAATATGATGTGTTCGACCACGTATTTGTTTAATAAATGAGAATATTTGACTCGACTCATTTAATAAGTTAATAAATTGAATTCAAGTTTTACGAACAAAAGTAAGTTGTGCTCACTTAATAGCTCAATTCGACTAACAACTCTATCAGTCTAGGGTAGTAAAAATTGTTGTTGGGTAGGGGTGTAGCCAACAACCCTTTAGAATCACTAATTTGACCAGGCTATCTTTAAGCTACCACTTGCAGTTGTTAATTATTTCTGTAGAGACAAAAGCCAAGTCCCCCATGTCATGTGTCACCAAAAAGGGTCAAACTAATATAAAACCCTTCAGGACGTGAAGGAGCATTGGCTGGCATGTGGAGTAGTGTGTTTGCTAAGGAGAAGTTGACACAAGAACATTAAAGAATGCTTGATTTTCTGCTCAGGAGTACGCCAAGTTATCAGCCCATAAAATTGGTCCAGTCGAGATTGTGGAGAAGATGAAGACGAGATTGCCTCGAATTCGAGACCGAATCCTTTTCGAGAGGGGGAGAATGATGGAGATGAGGACAAACATGATCTTTGAGATATTTAATTTAATTATCTATTTCTTATATTTATTGTTAATATTTTAGTCCTAGATTTGTTAGTAAAATTATTTAATTTTTTCTTTTTGTAGAAAAAATATTTAATTATCTTTTACTTGTTAGACAAAATTAGAGTTTTTAGGAGTTCTATTTAAAGACTCCTATTTTCTTATACTTCAGTCGGTTGAATTTGATTATTAAAGATATTTGAGTCTTTTTTTTTTCGGTTTATCTGTTTCATCACGCATTTGCTACGTCATTATGAAGACCCCAAAACAAAATATATGTTGAAGTATTCAACAAAACAAAAAATATAAAATTAAAAAAATATATCAATAATCTAAGACATGTGACAACTTACTAGGTATAATTGTTTTTTACTAGTCATATTTTGCAATTTACTAAAGTAAAAAATAGTTTGTACAATATGACTAGTAAAAAATATATCCAATGAATTTTCGTATGCCGAAATTTTCATGCTCTTTTATTATTACTTTAAAATTCCCTCTATATATAATTTCAGAATACGCTGAGCCTACATGGCAAACTCTCATGCTTAAGAATCCTATTTGACAAAAAATCATGCTTTGGAGTTAGGCTTGGATATAAATTAATATTTGTATTAATTGTATTTTAATATCATTTCCTATTATAACCATTGAATGCAAATATATTTTAAAAGTTGATAACTTTTGTATTTCTTATCAGTTTTACATATATAATATATCAAATTAATCATCTTTTGATGAGCTTCGATTTGACATCCATATTGTATATATAAAATAAATATATTATATTTATCTTTATAATAATAAAATTATTTATTAAAATTAATTATAAAATAAAATTATTTATCAATTAATATATTTATGTTTAATGTAGTTATATGTTATAAGGTAGAAAATTTATTATAATATAACACATATAATTCGCACAAGTAACGTGTGCCATACTAAAATATATAATAATATATACTCCCTCCTATTTTTATTATTTGTCACTTTGGCTTAATTGATCATTGATAAAATAAATGTCGTTTTAGATATTTTGTTCATATTTTTTCATTTTTAACCTTCAATCTAATACACAGTGTCTCTTTATATCTCATCTCCATGGTTTCCCACAAGATCCATTAAATAGGGTTAATATTGTCAAGAAAAAAAAAATCTTAATTAGTGTGTTGCATTTGAATTCATATTATGAAGTCCGTTTGTATTTTACTATTTATATATATATAAAATACAAAACAGTAATATATATCCTTATAAATAGCATTTAAATTTATTTATCAAACTAAATTAAATTATATCAAATAAAACTATAAATTATATTATAAAGTAATAGAAATTAGTATGTATTTTTTAAGAAATGATATTTAATTAAAATCTAATTGGTATGTTGTCAATGTAATAAAAATAAATAATTATTTATATAAATTCTAAAATTACATATAAATTTAAAAAACTGTGAAGCACGACTGATACGACACTTGATGTATTAAGCATCTAATTAAGTAAAAAAAATAATCTATTTTGTTTAATATTAAATAAACATATTCTACACTTATGCATATACATATCACCATATTATTTCTATTTATTTAAGATATATATTTTTGTGCTTATGTAACAGCAAATAATATCGATATTTATATATGATATAAGTAAAAAAATTCAACACGATTTGACATTTGCATTTAATGAACGGGTATTTAATTATTACGACTAAAAAAATATAATTTGACAATTTAATTAAAACTCAAAGTAATGTTTTATATAAAATTAAATTATTTTAGTTTTTAAAAAAATAAAAAATTTAATATTTTTTACAATTTCTAATTCAACACCCATATAATACACGGATATTGTACGAGTATTATCATTATTTAAGAATTAATATTTCAACTTTCAATACATTTAACATGTCATATAATATCATCACACAATATACTTTTTCTTGTTTAATTAATAACAAAAAATAATTAAACCATATATAAATATAAAAGAAACATGATTTCCAATCATAAAAAAATATAAATCATGTATGGCATGCACGTGCACTAGTATCAATAAGCATGGCCACTTTTTGACATCTCCCAACACACTGTTTTGCAGTAGTTACCCAAAACTCAAAACCTCTCGAAACATAACAAAACCACAACCGCAGAGTAGCAGCACTTCCTCGTTCCTACTACAGGCTGACACACTTGAACATTTAAATAAAAAAATAAAAGATACAGAAAAAAAATTTACATGATACCATGTTTGTACAAATCTCTCTCGAGGGGCAACAATCATCAACTTCCACTCAAGAATAACAAGTTGATATATTCAGGTTAAGACAACATAGCAGTAAGATAGGTCTAGTCATGCGCCGGCCAGTTTGAAAACAGGCTGTACGTTGGTTAAGTTGTTTTTCTAAGTAAATATAAAAAAAAAAATCAGTCACTAGTTCTTCCACTGAGCATGAATTCAAACAAACTCGTGGAACAAATACGTGCAACCTTCATTGTTTACGACAATTTGCAGTCCCTTGAAGCAATAACCAGTTTTACCAGCTGTAAATTGTGTAGAGCTTGTACATTATGAATAGTTAATCAATCATGAAACTTCCTGAAGAGCGAGATTCAGTTCGTGAGCGGACTTGGCAATAGTGCCTCCTCGTCTGCAAAAGAAATTTGAAAATAGGAATTTTTGGCTTACTTTGCAAGACATGAAGCAGAAAATTTGTTGTGCACGAGCACGAAATACAAACCTAGAAAGAGTAGACAAGCAGCATTTTACTTTCTCGAGTTCCACATAGCATTGATTGCAACGTTCCAGCCTTGAGATGTACAAAAAGAACAAGCATTTCTTGTCCCATTAGATTTTTTTCACAAGACAAAAATGGTAATAGTACTTGATTGGAAATTGGAATAATTAAATAAACTCAAACCTTTGTTCAGCTTCAATATCTACGCCTACAGATGATGGTGCTGATAAAGAAGAATAGATGACAGAACCAAACACTCTGACCACTTTCAGAAGCATATCCAATGCAATATCTTTATGCCTTCAGAAAATAGTTAATCAGATTATGATTCACCAAGACTAGAAAGACAATTGCATGACCAAACTCAAATTCTCACGGGAATAATGGTGTGAATTATTGAGCTTCTAATTCAAACAAAAGCCCTGTTGGACAAGTTATGCCCATGTTACTACACAATGCGTAAAAATTAATTCCAAACAAAACAGTTACTAAATAGTTCTTTTTAAACATATGTATGCCCCAAACAAAGCTAATACCATCTCTAGCAAAATCACAGGGTGAATATCTCAATTCCAGTGACAGTTTCATTAGATATCTAATAGCTGCTTGGAAAAGGAAGAAATTAGAGGGCCGCATCATGATCCAAAGACATGCATCACTTGGAATACGTATGTAGTTTACAAAACAAGTAACAAGGTAATATTCTTAATTTTTTTATATATATTTATTCTCTCATCAATATAAATCCAAATACTACCCACTTTCTTCTCACTAGAAATAAATATTATCTTTCTTTTCTACTGCAAGTGGAATATTCTTCTCTCGTATTTCTAATAATTCAGATTTTGCATGAAAGATCTACATGGTGAAACCTATGAGATAACTCTAGAGGAGGTCAATTTAGGCACATATCACCCCTGAACCCATGAAAGATATGCAATTTAATGGCTGTTGTTGCTATAGTCGCCAAACAATTCCTCTCATTATGCTTTGCTAGGACACCAACATTTGAGGTGAGTATCTTCTCACAGTACAACATCTAGCCTCAAAGTACACAGTTAAGGAGAAGCGCCATAGTATAATAGGATATTTACTTACCTATCCATATCACTTTCAAGAAGTCCAGTCAAGAGTGGCAGAAGAGATGAACAAATATCTAATGTCACCACATCAGTTTTTTCTGCCAGAAGGGTAATTACATCAGCTAGCACCTGCCATAGGTGGAACAATAATAAGTACCTAATGAATAGCCTTTGTCATTTGAAATGTCAAATTGAGATGGCACAATTTATTGTGCACTACTATCAATAAAGTGGGAAACACAGCCTTTATATCCACAATCTGGGAATAGTAATATATTACTCACACTATGATCACCCATTTTGCCAATTGCACTGAGGGCTCCTTTAATATCATGTCTTTGCCAGAAGTTAAGGACTACCTGAAAAAGGAAAATGAATAAAAATACAATAATAACAATAATTAGAAAACTTGATCTATCTCATTTGATTAACTACTGTCACAGTACGAAAAACCATGTTTCATAGGCACAATGAGTCGATGGTAAAGAATCTAAATAATGTATAACTTGGAGTATCTTTTAAAAGTTAGGAGCAGTTCCAGGAAGCAGCTAATCTCTGAAGTCATTCTGCCAACTATATTTAATGATCAGTCACACCAGGATTAATATTGATTTTATACCAACAAGATAGCCCATCAGAAGATCGTGTCAGGGATCTACTACGAGTTTCCTAAATCAAATGCTAATTCTGTATTGGCTTCCAAAATCATGTCCACATAAACAATTTGATCCATAGATCTAATTCCAGTCTTTCCCATCAGCATAAAAAGCACTGAATGCTAGTTTTATAAGAATAAGGCATGTTACTAGCTTCACGGTCCAGTTCTGCTAGATATACAATTTTTAAGCAGCAGTTTAGAGTAAATAAGTGACCCAACGATAATGACAAGTGTTCTGATAATTGAAAGAAAATTTTCTATTTGGACTATTATCAATATCAAATTTCGAAAAAAAAAAACACCTATTCTTGCTTATGGATGGTGATAAGTGATAAGTAGATGACAAGGAGATGAGAGCGGGTGCAGCCATATAGTTATTTTGCTACTTCATAAACACAGAATAATTCTAATGATGTGAATCTGCCAGTCCAAAGCTAATAATATGCCAGTATTTACTTCCATTCGTCAATTTCCAAATATATTAGCATAAAGCATGAAAAGGTGTGAAAACCAAAACACACTATTGTAACAAATGAAGCTGGATTAGCTACTTTGGAAATGCAGCACAACGATTATAACACGAGTTGATGAATAATAAAGTAAAACCATTAAATACCTGCAGTTTGCCTAATCGAGATTTCATCACGCCAATAAATTCATCATGCATTTCCATCATGTCCGCGATAGTATCTTCATCACTAGCAGAGACTGACTCATGTTCTTCAGTTAAAGCATAGCTTCTCTGTAATAGATATCAAAAACATGTAAGTAACATTGAGAATAAACCAACGCAGCCAGATCAACTTGTATATTAAAAGAGCTAGATTTGACAAGCCGGTGGTGCCTCTAAAATACATACATAAGTGAAAAACCATATGACTGCATGATAATAAAACAGTGCAAAATGAAATCTTCAAAATCATATCACATTTCAGTAGACAGAAATAGAAAAAATCAAGAAGCTAAAAGTGTCTAAAGAAAATCCCCGTAAACTCTATATTTTAAATGCCAAGAGAACAATCAAGTTGATGCACAGACCACAAAGATCCTAGTCATCAAAATGGAAGTTAAAACATAAAGCACCTCGTGGTCCTTGCTGATCTCCATAAATGGTAGAAGTTGTGTCAAAATCCATTTTTTAGTTAAAAAAATGATACGTTTAACTGAAAGAAACAGATGAATAGTAAAAGGTAAAATTCTAGTGGATTGTTTTACAGCAAAAGAAGTGAACACCATGACACACGCAGATATAAATTTCAAACTCATTCTCAACATACAACCCAAAGCACATCCCTGATAATTGTTGAGGAAAACAAGAAAATAAGTTGATTATCCACTAAGAAATATAGAGTATACGTACAGCAGTAAATTTCCCAGAGACATTGCTTGAAGGAAGACCTGGACGGTAAGAAATTCTACCTCTCTGTTCCCAGTTTGAAACAACGGAATGTGTTCTACCTAAAATTGTCAACAACACTGAGTTTAAGCTTATGATACAACAAAAAAAAACACCATTTCTAACCAAGTACAGCATCCACTAGACACTGACACACTGTTGTTATACCTCCTTTTTGACCTTCTACATGAGATGTATCCATGCTCGTATTGTTTCCTCGGAGTTCATCTGTGATCAAATTTAACTTGCTTAAGATTAAAAAGTTAAAAACAAAACAGATTGTCACCTTATTGTTAGACACAAGATCGCTGACTCAAGGCTTCAAATTGCAAGTGATATCATAAACTTGAACTGTAACAGGCTGTTAAGAAAGTGACACCATATGGTAAAGAAACCAGCTAGATTTTCCACTACAATTGCAGTGTTCTATAATCATATTCTGTATATCTCAAACGAAACCTAGGTGGTTGGTCATGAGCAGTCTACTCTCAAAGTACATTGAGCGCGTTCGAGTTTTTATCTGATACTTTTGGTCTGTATTTTAAAAATCCATAGCAAGTACCTAAACAGCCATAACTGATATAGCTGCAGATTTGTTTGTTCACTCTTTAACCAAGGGGCTCTTAACGTAACGACAGACCGTGGCCCGCCAGCACCAATCAGTCTCCAGCTCATGAGTTGTTAAGCAGTGGTGTGGATATCATAAGATTAAAGAAGATGCTCAAACCACATCAGGAAAAGAGAAAATGGCAGGATGGAAAAGATATAGACAATATGGAAGATAAGGGAAGGAAAATTCCAGTATTTGTGTGCAACTTGTGGTAAGTAGGTTATGTTTGGGTGAGAGGATGGCGTTGCAAACGATGACGACAATTCAAGGAAGCACAATATTGAGAATCTCTAAGACAAAAGATATAACTAATTTTAAAAACTCTAATTCAACACAGGAGAAGATTATCCATTATTCAAGCATCAAACTTCACAAGAGCCACAGACTTAAATTTATTTGATATAATTTTAGAAGGAATAGCTCAATTGGATAACTTATAGACTTATTTACTACAGGAATAAAAAGCCAACTAAGGCAGAAAAGTAACAGATTTGTAATTGCTAATATCCAAACACATCCTGAAGTTATTGGATCAATTACCAAGTTCATGGTTGTCTCAAGTGCTCCAGGATAATCATTAATTTGTGTCTGTTAGGAGTAGGGCCTGTTGGAGTGGAGGTTCAGACTTCCAGTTCAAAATATTTTTTTCATTAAGTCAGCCTTCTTCACAAAACAACACATGCATTACAAATGCAAAGGATTAATGATTACAGCAGATGAGAGACTCTGGTCTCCTGCAACCCCAAGCCTATTAAAAGACTACACAATCCAGATGAATATAAGCCACCAGACTGGTGAAAATGTTCCCTCTTAAAGGCGCCAGTAGTATAGGGCATGGAGAGGGGAATAGAAATTCTATCAAAATATAAAAAATGCAACTAATATGAAGAAAGAAGATAAGAATAAAGTGAGCAGAGCAGAAGAGAGATCATGGAGCTGAGGGAATTAAAGTATGATGTTGTCAAATTTAGATTCAGGTAATCATTGATCATGCATAGAGAAACTGTCTTTCATTTTCCTTCTCTTTTTTTCTATACCTTGAATAGCAGTACCATGTATATTCCATCATATGAATCAACAAAAAGATATGTCAAAGCATCACAGTCAGTACATAGACAGGAAAGGGATCCTCTCGAGAACCCAGGAATAAGAAAAAATTTGGATCCATAAATGAGAAGAACAAAGTATAGATTCCACCATCATAAGAAAAGTCTCCTGCCCCAAGATCCTTGTACATCCCCAAGTTAGTAACGTATTTCTATCAGTAAAACACTCCACTCCTCCATACTTCCTTTAACCTCTGACTCATCACCATGAAGGCGTACTACTACAACAACAACAACAACAACAACAACATAGCCTTTAGTCCCAAGCAAGTCGGGGTAGGCTAGAGATGAAACCCAAGAGAAACACAAAAAGACTGAAAAAAAAAAAAAGGGAGAGAGAGAGAAAGGAGCAAAAGGATCTTGGGGCAGGAGACTTTTCGCGAGTGACAGAAGTGCAAATACGTATCGAATGAACATAAACCAAATAATCCTAAAATAAATAATATGATTGTGGGTATCTGCAGTAGAGCGAGTAGTGTCCCATGCGTGCATGTTGGAGAGTATTTTCCGTATTTCTTGTTATGGTGTCCTTTTTAGTGATAGATTAGCCTCACCAAAAATAAAACAAAATAAATAATAAAAAAGAACACATATTAGAGAAGGAATACATACAACTTTCATGCTGGAATCTGGCAGGAGCATCAACAGTAGCATTTGTGTCAACTTTTCTGGAAAGCATAGGCTTATCGTCTCTGGTTTTTCTATCTAATGCAGCAACCACACTGAGCGAACTCTTAACTGAATTACCCAAACTTCTATCTGAGAAACTTAAATCCATAACCCTCGGGAGCTCATTATCGGACTGGGAAGAAGCACTCCTCTCTGCGTCATCTTTAGCATTTACAAATTTGCGAAACTCAGATTTTCTAGACTGCAAAGGTAGAGCTACTGTATTTACTGGAACATCATCTTTTCTGGATTCAGCAGCCTGCTCTACCCGTGGATTATTTCTAGGCACAACCACAGGTGCTACATCAGATCTGTTGAATAAGGGTGCACTCACTGTCGACTGAACCTTTGCAGTTTGTCGCCTTGGATTTGTTGAACCAACTACTGATGAATTGGTCTGACTTGCTTTTGAAACAGCACTAACATTCGACCTTTGCGGAGTACTCGGAATACTGACAGTAGCTTCAGTCAACACATGCAATCATCATTTAGTACAATTTCAAAGTCAGTTATAAATAAAATTATACAGAAAAGGAAGACAACCAAATAACGGTAGTGGATATCAGATGAAGAAAACCAAAGTACAATTAAACAACAATATCAAAGAAGGAAACAAGAAAAAGGTGGCTTACATGCTACTGATTTAGAATCTTTATTAAGATCTGAATTCTGCTGGGCAGAAAGCCTCATGTGAGATCTGGTTTCCTTGACAGAATCAGAATCATGTGAAATGGAAAGCCTACCAAAATTGGACTTCACATTATCCTCAGTCAGCACTGTCGAACTACCAGAATTAGATTTTGCATCAAAATCACCATTTAACCGAGCAGTACTGGGCATTGCATATGGTTCAAGACGCTGGCAGCAGCAAGAAAGCAGAACATTCATGAGTACAGAGGACAAGCATGAAAAGGTTAAGTTTAATGAGTAATAATATCAAGATCAGTGATCAATACCGAAATGTCTACAACCCATACTCCAACACAACTTTGATTGTAAGAACATCCAAGAAGCTTCCCTTCATGAACATTCATGTCGGACAATTTAGACCACCCCACATCCACTGTATCATGACTTCTGATTGGTTCCCAAGATAAAACCTATAATAAAGGGAAAAAAAGGAGAATAACATCAGAGAAGATTGCAATGCTGTAATTTAAGATAACCACCTACTTAAAATTAGATCACTAACTTTCAAATTCTCATGCAAGCCACAAAGCAAGGTTCTTCCATCAGGGTTGAAAGTCATGGAGCGCACACCTGTGGACTGGATTTTGGACAATAAACCATAGATACTCATAAACCAATAAAAATCTAAGAAGCTGAGGGACGAAGAAAGAAGGCAACAATGAGGAAATCATAGACGGTGAAAAAATAAAGAAATGAGATGAAAATAATAATAAGTGGTTAATGACAAACCTCAGGTCCAGATGAACCAATGAGCTCAAAAGTTTCAAGATCCCAGAACTTAACAGTCCGGTCAGCTGAACCTGCCAAACCAGAATACTAGGCAATTTTTAAGAAATGAATAACAGCTCAGGGATCTTTTATCTTTGTCCATAAAGAACAAAGTTTAGACAAAATGCTTGTGCTACTTTGACCAAAAAGAACTCAAAATATCTTGGTGTGGAGTATTACAAACTGATATTCAGTAATATTCAGTAACATTTCTGTAATAAACAAAAATGCTGCAATTATTAAGCATCAACCAACTTAGTAATGGTAAGTAAAATATACTAAAAATTTATGCAATAGAAATAACCAATGTGCGTCAGGGTCACCAAGAAAAAGACAGTGGTACAATCAATTTCTTGATCTGAAATTCGAGCATGACGAATATGAGTGCTAAGTGACAACAGAAAACTGTGGAAGAAAATGTAATACCACTCACTGTTGCATCCAGTGTCGAGCAAGAAATAACAAGCAAAGATATTATGGCAACAAGAAGCTAATTACAGCACAAATACTGAATCTTTTCTTTCTGCATTTTTTTGATAGGGAACCCAGAGATTCTATTAGAACACTGAATATAACACATACAATAAAAGAATGAGAGCTCCCAAAAGACAAAATTAGACATCAGAACCACAAGACGAAAAAACAATTGCGCATATAGATTTTCCACCTGTTGCCAACAAGAACTCATGAGGATGAAAATCAATGCACTGAATTTGGCCTTCATGGCATTTGAAATCATGCAAAAGCTTGCCCGCGGTTAGATCCCACAACTGTATTTTCAGGAAACAAAACTATTATTAGTATTGCATCAAATATCTGCTTTTATTGTGCATATGCTTCACAATATCATAAACATTACATATTGAGGCTTTGAACTTAATTCGAGTTACAATTTAAAAAAGAACAATATAATGATAATATTATAATGAGTATAAGGATGACAATAATGCTTCTGCTCAAAACAGAACAATACACACTTTCATGTACTAATATGAACAATTTAAATGGACAGCATGAAGAGGAGCAAAATATAAATTAGGCTATGAGCAAGAGAATAAAAGATAATTGTATTCAAGTTCTCTTAGTTTCTTTAAGATTCATAATAGGAATGAATCTCTATTAGCATCTAGTCCTATCTAAACTAATCACAACCACAAAAGGAAAGAGTGGAACTACAATTGAAAGATCAAATGTATTGAAAGGTGTAACCTTCACAGTGTTGTCCTCTCCACCAGATACAACCCACCGGCCATCAGGAGTAAACCTAATTGCATTAACACCTCGAGTATGGCCCTTGTAAGTATGTATGCACCCCTTCCTTCGAATATCCCATATTTTCAAATTTGTATCCAGAGACCCAGATGCAAAAAACTCGCCAAAAGGATGAAAGTCCAAAGATATGCAATTGGATCGGTGGCCAGTGAGGGTGCGGATGACTGTCAAGAACATGTCAGTATTTGATTATAGCACAGAATGTTGTGAAGCATAAAATGTGGATTACAGAAAAAGCTTTTACTTTTAGCCTCCTCCAGATCCCAAAGCTTAATGGTACCACTTGCTGCTCCAGCAGCTACCAAAACCTCCGAAGAATCAAAGCTAACTGAATCAATTCCACTGGAGTGGCCCGATAAACTCTAATGCATTGAACCACGAACAGAGCAGCAAAGACAGAAAAAATCAAAGGATAAAATTTATCATTAGTTAAATCCATTTTATTAATAAAAATAAAGAAAATAAGACAGCAACAACTAAACTGTAAAATTGGTGCTACACTACAGGGATATGGTAACTCTCATTACAAGAATTGAAACTTGCAAAGGCCCCCATGAGCAGGACCACCCATAAAATTAACAATATTAAAAGTATTAAACCGCTCACAGGGGAATGCAAATTGCAGAATTGACTCAGACAATAACCACATTTGGGTTACAGGAAGCACGCACCAACAATTACAAAGGTAATTCAGATACACACGCAGAAAGGAATGAAAGAGAAGAGAATTAAGTAAATTTAAATGTATGACAATAGTAAAAAGAAGCCACTAAAAATGAAGGTCAAAAGGAAAAACTGAACTGACCAGTATAGCATTAGGCTTGCCAATAGCCCAAAGATTAACCTTGTGATCTTCTCCTCCAGTCACAAGAACTCTTGACGATTTCCTCCCAATCTTCAGGCAGTTCACACTTAAAGAATGAGCTACAAATTCCTCTATGGTTAGCATAACGTTAAGGCTTCCAATTATACTTCTCTCACTATCTACCTTCTAGTGTCATGCTCTCTCACTAGTATTTTAAAGTAACATTCACAGAAAAGAAAAAACATAGGCTGCCAAATGTTTTCCCAATGTTGATAATTTGAAAATCAATCTTGCTCTTGTCAGATGGTTATCAATGAGATTTAAATATCATCAATAGTGCTTAAAACAGCATTCGCGATTCTTTGTACTTTGTAATAACTGTAAGATGCTTATGCTAAATACTTCTAAAAGATAGTACTTTCGCCGTAAGAATCCAGAATTATTCTGTTAAATACTTATATTTTTGTTCACTTTAGCGATTATATATATATATATATATGCCTTCTGCAACCCTGGACTTAATATTCTCAATAATCTCGACATCTCAGGACCCCCCCAACCCATTCCAAGAACAAAAATCAAAATACTAACACAAATAAAAAGAAAAAAACACACATATCAGATTTTGTATGTGATTCAAGTTTAGTAAAGCTGGTCTTGCAGATCCTCACATTCATACCAATACAAAATGGATGATGTCGTGGAATATATCCCCTCAAGTTAAGTACATTAGTCCCCTAATGCACATTGAAATAAATTTTCATCAAGAACTCCTCTTTTTCTATTTGCAACATAAACCTAATGCATTAATTTTAAAAATATCAATTTCACCTAATGATAAGCATCAGACTTAAATGACAGAAGAACAAATAAGACACTGCAAACAGTTGCAAAGCAGTAAACTCTCGGTCATAAAATCCTTGCCGGCAAACAAAGACACACTTTGCAATCTAAAAATTTTTCCACAATCCCAATAACAACTTGCCATGCTCAGGGAATAAGTTCGACAGCTGAACCAAGAAAAAAATTAATAAATTGTAACTTCATTGGAAGTCCAACTAATGCACAATATGAGCATCTAAAGAATCATAAAATCTATAAAACCATAAAACTCTTCTTCAACTGGATCCAATCACACCCAGCACCACAGTTTTGTTCTCTACATCAACTTCCATATCTTAAATGGAGCATAGAGGGAGAAAGATGTTAAATAAAAGTATTAGGCTTCAACAACAAAGGATACGTAGCTTATAAGCACGTTTTGTGGTCGTCGTCATTTCCGAACTCCGAATGTACCAAATCAAAATGACAAAAAGAAAACCTAGCACAACCTCCCCCTCAAAGGTGAAAACAGGAGAATGTGAAGCAGATCCCGGGAAAGAACCATCAACATTCACATTCCTTCAGGCGCCTTCAAACTCCTCTTGGTCAAGCCACGTTCGACGAAATTACTGATGCAATAAAGAAAATTATTTTCCCGGTTTGTGCGATGCGAGTAAGTCAGCAGCAGATTGAACAAAACACACTTCCAGTTACATCTGTAGCAGGCTTACGGGAGATGGTACAATGTAACTCCACAGCTGAAAAAATCCAGCTGGTTCGTGTGTGTGTGTGTGTGTGTGTGTGTGTGTGAGAGAGAGAGAGAGAGAGAGAGAGAGAGAGAGATGGGGGAGAGGGAAGGAGGAAGGGAGGAAGAGGGTTGTTTTCCAGATCCCAGCTTCGCAATTACTCTGGATTGCAACCTTTCAGCTTCAAAACCATAGATCCCTTTCAAAAGTTCGCATTTAGATTTTTGAATTTACTGTGAGGGAAGGGAGTGTTGGCGAAGAAATTCTGGTTTTGGGGATTTGAAGTTTTGAAAGATTGATCCGAAAGTATTTGAAAAGACATTTTGGGTCGAATGTAAAAATCTCACAAACTTTAAATGTATATATGCAAAAAGTATTTAACATCATTGATTTTTAAGCCATACAAAATGAGTTAGTTAACTGATACCAATTATGACCAAATTAGTTATAGTTTCAATTTCAACAATACTTAGTAATAAGATAATATTATTACACAAGTCATTTTATTATTTTTATTTTTATTTTTCAAAATGATAGATAACTCTACTGAAAAAGTACTTAACACGAAGGCAAACAAGCCTTACAACACAGCATAAAATGTTACATATAAAGCACACTACAAGAGTGAGTTAAACAAAAAACTAAGAAACTAAACCTAGCAGGAATAGGACTAGCAAACGTCAATAGCAAAGCAAATGACCAAGTTGCTTGAGACCTATTCGTGTCAACCAAAACCAGCACAAACAACTGATGGAAACAAAAGAAAACCTGCCACTAATCAAAGATCCTAGCAGGAACCCAGCTAAGGCAGCTAGATACAACTAAAGGACTAACAAATCAAAACACTGGTTACAGTTTAAGAATTCTAACCAATCGGAAGATGCCATATTTACAATAGAAATTTCACTTCTCCATGAGTTTTGGAACACCCAAAGATTTCTTCTTTTCATATCCACCACAAGAGGTAAGAGGTTAACTGAATTATGTCTTCTGAGATGGATGTAATGTTGAGGGATCAAATGCTAGACCACTAATGCTTGAAGTTATTTGTTTCAACCTCTAACCCATTCCAAGTGATAGAAGCTAACTACCAGATTTTTTTGCTCTGCCACAGTGAAAGAAGATGCGCTCAGAAGTTTCTGAAAACTCTCCATAGCCTTGCAAGCTTGGGCAATGTCCATTCTCTTCTTGATGGTGTTGCGGTTAACAGGAATGATGTTTAGCATGCATTGCCACAAGAAATGTTGAATTTTTCCCTTTATTTTAAGTTTCCAGCTTCGTCTCCTCACAAGCTTGGCTTCATCCTAATCCTTGCTAGATTCTGCAATGTCTAGAATTCTCCATTTATCCTCAACCATCTTAGCATAAGTTGCAGCCACTGAGTAGTTCTCTCTCTTCCCACATTCCCAAATCAGCTTATCTTCTTCCTAGGGGTCCAGGATCGTGATACTTAAGATTGCTTCTTGGTCTTGATATGTAATGTAGTCCTTCACTAAGGCTATGTTCCACTACCTACTTGATTCATCAATGAGGTCCATTACCCAGGTTAGATCTTTGTTCCTTTGGTGTTTGGGAGTAGGTTGAAGTCTGCTATTTTGGGAATCCAGGGGTGGTTCCATAACTTGACTGATTTTTCATTTTAAAAATCCAATAAAAATCCTCCTTGGAAGTAGTCTCTAACATTCAGTCAACTATTCCACATCCATAATTCATTTTGCTTTTACTTAGTAGGGAAGAAGTTACCTTTGGGGAAGTACTTGGCTTTAAGGATTTGCTAACTAAGAGATTGGGTTTTGTGATGATTCTCCACATCTGCTTTGTTATAAGAGCTTTATTCATGAGGTAAATATCATGAAAGCCCATATCCCTATTGTCCTTTAGTAGAGTAAGTAGGTTCCATGATATCTAGTGCAAGATTTTTTTTCCTTGGTTTCCATTGTTCCACCAAAAGTTGGCAAATAGTGAAGAGAGATCATGTTACAAACTGTCTTTGGAATTAAAATGCAAGACATTGCATATATGGGGAAAGATCCAAGGATTGCTTTCAACAACACTTTTTTTTCCTACAAAAGAAAAAAAATATGTTTTTCAGTTCAGTATTTTTTTTCATTGAATTTTAACATAGGAGAATGTTTCTACTTTGGATTTACCAATACCTATGGGTATGTCTAGGTATCTAGAAGAAATTTGTGGGGTTATTCTCATGAGAGTATTGCAGATG